TCAATAATTAAAAATATTATATAAAAAACACTATTTTTTTTTTTTTTATAAATGTTTTCTATAAATTAAAATTTAATACAATATTATACTTCTTCAAACACATAAATTTATATTGAAAACATTTTTTTTTTTTGTAATAATATTTGTATCTTACTATAAGATGCGAGTAATATGAGTCTATGACGAGAGCCACAGTTTGACCACCTCTGGTCTATAATTTTATTTAGTTTTGGGTTGATATCTCCCGAACAATGAACAAATTGATTTATGATTTTTCTCTAAAGATAATTATTGAATACTATGTAGTATGCAATTTGGGTAGTTTTACTTGTGTGTAGTAATAAAGACTTTTATGAATAAGTTTAACTTTCTATTTTTAAACGAAAACCTATACTTTTATTTTTATGACATGAATTGTTAAATAATTTCAAACATTAAGAGGACGTCGAAGGTTAATTTTTCAAATATCAAAACAACGCCCCGGACTTCCAATAGTACTCCGAAAGTAATAATGGTATAATAAATCTAAATATACCCTAAGAAAGATAAGAATATTTACTATGTGTGTATAGAGCCATATTCAAAAAAAAAAAATACCTACCTACTGTTTTTACAACGAGAAGTTTTCCGTTTTTCAAAAGGTCATAAAATAAATAGCTAATAAGTTTTGCAAAAAAACTTTCTATAGGCACGTAGAATGAGTTCTGGTCTTTAATTTGGTACCAAAATCGATTCTCTACGGCAAACAATGTTTGAATACTATTGGAAGTGCGAGGGGATAATTTTATGGAAAGTATAAAAAAAAACTAAGTTTATGCCGTAAACCGGTGCTGCTGTTGTAATGTGGCGGCCGTTGGCAATACATACTCCCACCGCTGAGGCATAATATTATTATGACGGCCGAGTGCCGACCCGCGTCGTCGCTATCCATAAATAATTATTGCGGGCGCGCGGCGATATTATTTATATTATATAAATAAGTTATTTATACGATTGTCGATAATAGATATTAGACATTATTCTATCTATAATCGTGATTCTTGGTATCAAACAACGACATTTGATAATAGTATACTAGTATCACTATTCACTTCTGTAGTTCTGTATTTTATTATAGTAAACTACGAATTATTTTGCCGTTTACTGTGTGGCGTGTGCTGTATTTTTATTATATTTTGTTGCATTTGCTTCACTATAAAAATGGACCGTTCTAAAAAGAATACTCCATACAGTTCGAAGAAACCGTCTGTAAAAAAAATCATGGTTGAAAAATTGAAAGCAGCCCGTGATGCAAAAAAGTAAAATATGCCAAATTACAAAATATGATACATTTATTATTGTTTAGACTCAGAATTTTAAATTTATAATAAAATAATAATAATTCCAAGTTTACAGAATGAGTAGTGCTTATCATAAGAACCAAGTCACTTAGGTACCTACTCGTTGACTATAAAATAGTATAACGGGTTTCTTTTCACTCCCACTCGTGATTTTACTAATACTAAGCTCTACTCGTACCTTTTAGATTCTAACCGAATCTTAAATTTTTTTTATAAACGCTCGAGGTTCAAATATTGACAAAATTCGTCAAAATAATGAATATTGGCTAATTATTTTAGTTAAAAATGTAGGTATAAGAATTTATTACCAAAAGCTAATAATTGAAAATTTAATACTTTGTTCTCATAAGTTAAGCTTAGAATAATTTTAAAAAAATTGAGGGTTATTCAATTAAAAAAAAATAGGAGTGTTTAAAGTTTTAATTTTCACGAAATCAAAAATTTACACGTAAAAAAAACGAATTTTTATCAAATGAATTTTGATTTTTGTTATAATTAAAAAAAGTACCTAACCATGCCGTATGCAACCACCAACCCGTTATATTAAAAAATATATTACTTGTAACAAAATAAAATACATAGGCAACAATATTTAAATATAATTTAATCTAGACTGACAAATCATCTTCGTTCAGAATCGTATTTCGTATACACTATACATATAATGTTTTTTATTTTGTTATTTGTATAACTACTATTATCTAACTATTCGAAATAATGCTTTAATTTTCAAAGTCATAGGGGGTTTTCGGTAGCAAAATGCAAATTGGACATCCTTGGTGCATTATATTAGAGGTCTAAATTATTAAATGTCCAATAGTTTTCAAAAGCGTCAGAGAAAACCCTAAAAAAGTAACGGAAAACTGAGAATTTTATTGATTTTATTTTACTGTAACTCAAAAAATAATAACTGTAAATACTTGACATTTTTACCAAGTGTAATTGTGTATACAATTGAAATACAAAGTATATACTGTAATACTGTAATACAAGTGTATTAGCGTATTGTCTATAGACGGTTAAATTATCAAAATATTTTGACCATTTTTGAGCTATTTATACAAGGTTCCTTATACAAGTTTTAATTATCGCAATTAAAAAAAAAATTAAAAATCGAATAGATATTTTTTATTATAAACCTGTTTAAAGTCAAAATCGTAAAAACTTAAATTTATACATTGGATAATCATCAAAAAAATGTTTAGATTAAAAACTGCTAATTTTAATGCTCAACAAGAGGAACATTTTGATTTGGTTTCCCATGATACGTCGACTGAAAAAAATTCAGGGGCACCTTCGTTATTAGAAGGTCCATCAAGAAACATATTTTCTAACGCAAATGAATTTACACCCAGGTATATATCAATAATTTATTAACTCGTCAGATCGTAGTTTGAACGTAAAACATTTAATCATATAATGTCTTTTTTTTTAATTTGTGAACTTTATTAGAAATATCGATGAAATTGAAAGTCATGTGTTATCGGCTGAAAAAGCACAAACTCACGATTTTTCCAACACGTAATACTAATTTTTCTTATACCTACCTTGTACCTAATCTAACCAATCCTTACATAACTATCCAAAACATTTTATTTTAGTGAATCATTTGGTGAAATTATTGGTAGGAGAATTGTTGATTTGTCCTACATATTTGCCCAAATAAAAAATGTTAATCATGATATTGGATTGGGATGTAGTTTCATTGATATGGATTTTGTGTCTGAAGACCGCAGAGGCTGTTATTCAGAGTGCTGGTTTATATGTAAGATGTGCAATATTAAATCGAAGATATGTACAGTAAAAGAATCGCCTAAAACCAATTGGTCTATAAATAAAGACATCGTTAATAGTACAATAGCAATTGGTAAGTTTAAGGTACTTAGAAACTCAAAGTATAAAATCTGCGACTGACAGACTTGTAAAGTATTCGAATACATTTTATTTGTATTACATTTTTAGGAATAGGATACACACAAGTACATGAATTCTTGTCTGGCTTAGAAATACCCTCAATTTCGTCTAATACGTACACACATATCGAGACCTTATTAGGAGCTGAGATATCTAATACTGCTTGGTCAGAAATGGAAAAAGCTGGTCAAGAGGAAAAAAGATTAGCTATTGAGTCAGGCTGTGTAGGTTCTGATGGTATACCTATGATAACTGTGGTAGCGGACGGACAATGGTCTAAACGAAGCTACCGAACTAAGTACGACGCATTGTCCGGTGTAGTAAGTATCATTTTTAAGTGACTAGAAATAATAATTTAATGTTAGAATCTCAATAAATGGAAAAATAATTTTGCTTAAGATTCGTTACTAACACATTTCATAATTTAATATAGGCTAGTATTATTGGTTATAAAACCAAAAAAGTGTTGTTTGTTGGGATTCGGAACAGGTATTGCGTGATTTGCGAAAGATCTAATAATAAAAAAATAGAAACTCCGAATCATATTTGTTTTTTGAATTGGAAGCAAGGTGCAACTAGCATCGAAGCTGATGCAATTGCAGAAGGTTTCAAAAGAAGTATAGAAATACATGGAGTAAAATATTGTAAACTGATAGGTAACAAAAATTATAAATATATTTAGTATAATAGTATAGGTACTGTTACCTTGATAAAAACGTAAATTACATTTAGGAGATGGTGACAGCAGTGTCACAAAGAGACTTAATGAGATACTACCGTATGGCCCAATATGTAGAGTCCAAAAAGTCGAGTGCCGAAACCATTTACTCCGTAATTACAGCCAAAAATTAATGGCCTTATCCAAGCGAACCGACTACCCGATTGAAATCCGGAAAAAAATATCTGCGAATATTTTAAGACTTAGAACTGATATAACATGTGCTATACGTTTCCATAAATTAGAAAACAAACCTTTATATCATAAAGTTGCTGGTAATTAAAAAACACATTATATGTCATACATGTTTTTATTCGCTAAATTATATATACAATATATATAAAATTATTTTAGGACTTAGACTTGATATAGCTAACGCACCAAATCACCGTATTTTTGAAATCCACGAAAAATGTTCAGCATACTTTTGTAAAAAATCTGGTGTTCCGCAAAACATTCCTTTAGAAGGAATTTCCAAGTTGAAACCAATTAGACAGGAAATTGATACAATTGTATCTAGATTGTCAAATAATGCAGAAAGTTTGATAATGGATGTAGACAACAACGCTTGCGAGCAATTCAACAGTGTAATAAACAAATTTTTAGGTGGGAAAAGAATAAACTTTACACAAAAAAGTTCGTACTCTACTCGTGTACAAGCTGCTGTTATCAGTTTTAACTCTGGAGAATATTTAAGATCGGTTAAGAAATATGTAACACATAAAAGCCCAGGTATTTTATTACACTTAAATTAAAAAAAAAATGTATTATATTATATATTTATAAAGGTAATTCAAATATTTATTTATATGTTATGTCTTGATCTTTAGGAAAGGTTGGTAAACATTTTTTGCGTCGAACACTAGCGAAACGTTATACGTGCCAGAAAAAAAAGAAAAAGTAGTTCAAATGAACCAAAATTAAAATCTAAGCGGCCAAAAAGAAGTAATAATGCAGATGAAAATTATGGTCATGCAGATCCACTCGATAATCTAAAAGATGTAAATGATGAACAGTTTATAAATGAAATGAATGCATTTGTCAGGTTTTTATATTATTGTTATCAATACAAATATACTTATATACATATATTCATAGTATATTATTCAACTTCTATTATTTTCAACATTTTTAGAAAGTTGGGTAAAGTTGACCGTGTGCACATCGAAAAAGAAACCAGAGACCAGGCTAGTAGTGAGTTATGGAAGCGGGAAAGACTATCGAGGCTAACAGGTAGTAATTTTGGGCGGGTGTGTAAAATGCGTCAAAATACAAGTTGTAAAAAAACAGTCCATTCAATATTGTATTCTAATTTCACATCCAGGTAATGAATAAATATTAATAATTATTATTTTTGATATTTATTTGATGTTTTATCAAAATAAAAATCCACTTTAGCGCAGTACAATTTGGCAAAGATATGGAACAAATTGCAATAAACAAGTTCGAAGAAATGTCTGGTTTTCAAGTAAAGCCTTGTGGATTGCACATTGATGAAGAATACCCGTACCTTGCCGCTAGTCCAGGTTAGTTTTTTCAGGATTTGTTATGTTTAAAAGTTTTGACTATAGCCTGGACCCACGTAGCTCAAATTATTTCGATAGTAATTTAATTATTATATTATACAAATAATAATGTTTTAATAAATATTTAGATGGAGTCATTGACAACGATAGGCTAATTGAAGTTAAAGCTCCTTATGCGGCTAGAAATACAATAAATTATATTCAAGCAGTAGAAACTGGAAAAGTATGCACCTTTACTTATATATTATATTGTATAAGTATCCTTTTGTGTTGTACTAATAATATAAATAGCTGTAAAGCCTTATAAACTATTTAATGGTTTCGAAAAATAAGATATGATTAAATTAACCACTTAATTTTTTTAAAGCTGAAATATTGTACGGTCGAAAACGGAAAACTAAAATTAAAAAATAACAACATCTATTACTATCAGGTACAAGGACAGTTACATATCACGAAAAGAAAATTGTGTTTTTTTATTGTATACTCTCCTCAATGGATTTCTGTGGAAGAAATAAGTTATAATAATAACTTTTGGACTTCTAATATGGAAGATAAATTACAATCGTAAGTACCATAGTTAAGTATTATTAGTGATTGTAGTTAAAGGACAAAACATATTTTTGAATATAGATTTTACTGGAATTGCTTACTGCCGGAAATCGTGGATCCAGCATTTAAACATCGACTGTTAATTTCTGACATACGAGATCCAAAAACATCTACCGTTAAAACTCCTAAAGCAAAAAAGAAATTGTTCTCATAAAATCAACCATTTTATTAATATTTAAATAAAATGTTGTATGTAAATGTAATATTGTAATTTTTTATAACCTAATATTGTATTTTCAAGTACTTATTATGTATCTAGCAGTGCCGAATTAAGTATTAATTTCGAAATTTATTGCTGAAATAAATGAGCTTTTGAATTTAAATAAATTTTGTTTTTTAGTATCCCAAAAGAATGATTAGAAATAACCTATACTAGTTATAGCTTATTATTAAATTATACTTTACGATAGGTATTGTATTATATTTCAATAAGTAATAATGCAATAAATACAAATCAAGCTATGTTATAATACAGTTTATACGATCTACATATTGGTACATGTATTTATGTAAGTAGTGACTTAAATTATAATCGTTAGTTTATGGCTACGCGCGGAGATTTAAAATATTACGGCAGCATTTATACGTGTATGAATTATATAATGACGCGAAAGGTCTTAGACGAACGTTCATGCTATAATAAACGACGCTCCCGAACGAAACTCGTCGGCCGGCCGGAGACTGCGAGTAGTGGGCGTGGCTTAAACGCCGCTCGCTTGCGGATCGCGAAAACACCTAACAGCGCGTTCTGTTAGCCGTTGTATACGTTCCACTTTGGGTATGACGTCCTCTTAAATACTTTTTTTAAGGTATATATTTTTTTCATTTATCAATTAACACAATTTACATTTAGATAAGAGATGATATAAATCTCTATAGCTCTGCAAAATGTTTGCGCTTACCACTCGTCTTAATTTTATATTATGTGTATTCGTGATAAAAACTATATTTGTTCACAAAATGAATAGCAACTGCATATTATATAATATATATTGAGTCATCGCAAATTCGGCAGACGATACTCGTGTTATGTATTGTACCTATAGTATACATACATATATATATATAATATACGCAAGTACCGGGTGACGGGTATCTACAGATAATTTTGTCCTCAGAGTTTTTTAACCCACAACAGCGTGTACGACATGCGCTTCGGATTGTTCTTATATTATATTATGTACATATAATTTACACACACAACACACGAGACCGCGTATTTTATATACCTATAATGTATGTAAATAAGATCCATTAGATTTTTAACAAGCAAATAGGTGTGTATCAGCGCGACCCGATCACGTCTGCTCGCGGATATAATATTTATGTTGTTGTTTTTTGCGCCCGGTATCGTCTGCATCGCGGCCATCCTCTGGGACGCGAACGCACAGACATCATCAAAACGGACAAAACGTACGTATTATACATTATATTTATATATATTATAAGATAATACGCATAGGTACCTATGTATATACGTGTATTTATATTATTTTTTTAACAGGTTTATAATAATAATAAAACGCGCGGTACCAAATCTCGACTATTTATCGCCCAGGGCTGAATGACGGATCAAAAATAAAAATATATTATACTACGCTATACAAATAAAAACTCTAAGTGGATGTTTCGCATTTATTTGTCTCCGTCTTTCTAATGCAAAACGTGGAAAATATGTGTTGAACAAAAACATTTTATGTAATTAGCATAAATGTTAGAGTACGTTTACCTGTTATCAAACTCAATAGTAAGAATATAGTCAAAGTATCTCATAGGATTTTCTTAATACTATAATATTTTAAAGTGACTTATGAATATTTTTAAGTTTTAAGTTGCAATATCTACGTAGTTGTAACTGACTTTAAAACGATGATATCAATAAAAACCTATGACATTCCCTAGATAATGTGTTCTTACCTTTAAGTTTAATAACATGTAAATTTACTCTAATATTAAAGCTGATAATATAAAATGAATTCTGATGAACGTAAATCTACCATATTCTACGAATAAAATAGAAACACACGTGCGGGTATGACATTCTAGTCATTCTACAAGTACAGTATTATTGCGATTAATGTATCATACGATTTAATATACATAAATTACATCACTTTGTTACTTTTGAGTTGTGTGTATATTATGTTTTCAAACCGTTATATGAATGACGATTGACGAGTCATAAAAAATTAAAAAATTGTATTTTAATACTTTGCTGTACATTAAGTGTACCTCATCATAAAGTAAACATTGTTATGTACATGTGTAATTACATTGCGATTGGGTGACAACAAAGTGGTAAGTAACTGGCACATGGTTATTTTTTGAATTTCCATCACACAGCACATTATTTGATACTTGACACATTGGTCGACATGCTTGTTATGACCCTATAAAAAATATATATAGTGTAATAGCAAAAACTATAATAATTATAAGTTATAACCCGATAATAAAATCCAAAAAATGGTTTTATCAAACGAGTTTCGAGTGACTTCAAGTGTCTTCACACCCTAAAAATCTTTAAATCGCGCACTTGTTAGATTGAATCTCAAGTATGTTTTCATTAGATGAAATTCCGGTATTTTCTCCATTTTTGTCTAATTTAATGTTCTAACATATAACGTAGATAAGTTTCTAAAGTTTACCAGTTATATTTATTCCCATGTAATTATTATTTTTTTTCTATATAATAATATTTGTGCTTCAACTCCTTGAATGATCACCAATAAATATATATATATACATATCTTGAATAACCTTTAAACGATATAACCTACTCCATTTCTTTTATCTTGAGCTCTTTTCAAAGTATTCTCTCGTCAGAATTGCTGCAGTACTGATTATGAAAATAATACATTTATTAGTCGTTCTAGGTTCCTTTATGCCTTTAGCTAATGCGGATCCTTTCTTCTCTTATCCATAAATTTGTCATTCATTACACAAAATTCTTGTCTATTGTACTAATATTATAATTAAATTACTTAATTTACAAGGGAAGTGACACTATATATTTTTTTATTTTTTTTTTTTTTGATATTACCGTTTGATTATAGACTACCCACCTCGCTTTATCGGCCGTCTCAATACCTCAATTTTTTTTGTAAAATTAATCATGCATATTCACTGTTCGTTTTAAAAAAATCAAAATTGTAATGTCATATTTAAGTAATTAACGTATTCGTCAGATAACTAATGGTAAAATACAGTAAAATATTATTTAGTTACATCGAATTGTTTAGTTGCTTATATGTATCTACTACGTATTTCTGCTCTCTCAAGACAAGTCTAAATATATGTATATATAATATATCAATATAGTTATCAATAGGCTCAGAATAGGCCATACTAGATTAACTCATACTTTCCTAATGAAGAAAGAAGACCCACCCATGTGCCCGACATGTAACGATCCCATTGACAGTTCTCACCGACTGCAGAAAGTAAGAATTACAACGTCAAAAATTCAATCTAACTCACCATCTTGCCGAAAATCTCAACATCGATACAACCAACGTTCTCAAATTCCTAAGGGATACAGAACTTCATAAAAAAATTGAATACATATTATAAGTATAATGTATCTACCATATTTAATGTAACTTATCTATTGTTAATATAAATACTATGTATTTTTGTAGCCAATGGCCCGTAGTTTTCAAGGCATTTGTTACAATAAAAAAAAAAAAAAAATAATAAAAAAAAATATATTAATATATATTACCGTGGTATTGTTAAAGTATGAACTTTGTTATTTTATACTTAATCATACTGTTTTCTTTTAAGTAATATTTATATTGAAATGAAATACTTTAACTAAAAATTAGTTAATATATTATACAAACCTAAATTGGGAAGACTCAAAAATTATACCAATATAAAATCATTATTTTTATATTAAAAAATATTGATTACACTTCAGAACAATAATATTAATATACTTGAAATATTTTTCACATGCATTTAGGAAGAAGAAATAAAAAATTGATAATTTAAATAATATGAAAAATCGTATAATAATGTTCGTATAATATAACTTGATTACAATGTTTAATAAATTAAGTTAATTTATAATTTACTGCCTAGTGTCTACATTTAGAACATGAAATAGTTAAATTATTACGAAATCAATTTCAACGAAATTTTAAATTACTCTACGTATATACATCATTTTTACGACAAATACAGCGGTAATCTGTCAGTGGTACATTTATAGTAGTACAAGAACATTTAAAAAATCTTGACAATAATCATTTTTTATTAAAAAAAAAAAACATGCAAATAACACATTATGTTATATTGTACGTAAAAGTTTAGTCGTACCTAGCTAATAAAATATAATAGTATAGCGGACGTGAATACAGGCAAGATAAATGTTAATACATATTATAAAAGCGTAATGACAAATGTTGAAGTTCTATCTAGCTTATTATAAAATACAATTATCAATTTATTCGTCGTACCTGTTATCTATAACGAAAACGACACAAACTAGTTCACACACCATGGAAATCTAATTGTATCTTGACAACTTTTAATGTACACAATAGAACAACTGAACAAGCATGGAGAATTTATAAAATACATAAAATATGTAGTTTATTGTTTTAGTTTAGTTAATACCTATCCTAAACTAGATACAATAAAATAACAGTGTAATACACTATTTCATACATTAACAGTACCTTAATACTACCTAGTAGTTATACCTATATGTACTTATATTAAGGAACCTCTTTGTGTATTACTGTATTATCAACAATAGGTCTATAATAATAGATTTAAAAGATGTGGTGACTTTGAAGCTTCAAAAATATTATTAATTAATACATATTATTATTATTAATGTTATATTATTCGTAAAAAATTTTCGAGGTAAATTCATACTAAATCTAATATTATATTTTTATATATTTTTTATATTTTTGGAAAATCGTTTAAATGGACTACCTATAATATTATATATTACATATAAATAATATTAACTGTGATTTTTTTTTTTTAATGATCTAGTTAAAAATGTTCAGTAAATAGATTTCATTAAAAAAAAAAAAACAAGTGTGTATTGCCATTACACGCAAATTTGTATAATTAAAAATATGGTTCTTCAGCATATTCAAAAATTCTAAAAGCAGAGTTTGAATAATTTCATTA